CTCCTTCCAGTCTGTATGGATGCCTGGGATTCCTCCAAACCTCGCACTTTGCTGTGTTGAACCTCATTAGATTCACTTGGGCCCACCTTTCAAGTCTATTGAGGTTATTGAGTCTGACCCTTCACTAAAGCAGGTACCCTAAAATGAATCACAGAATCTACTGTCCTGTAAGTTCATATCCAATTGAGGTCTGCAGGGAGTCTCTTGCTGTGCCAACAATGATATTGTGTTCAGATCTGATTCTTCTCACGTTTCATGAAGACTAGAGGTAGAAAATAGACAAAAATGCAAAGTCCATATAAAAAAGAATCAACTGCCAGATGAGTGAAACGTCCAAGTCAGGTCCCTTTCAGGATTTTTAGCGTGTGGCCATGTGCTAAAAACTTTTCCTCTACAATTCCAATCTGATCTTAAGCCAGAAACAAGGAGATCTTTCTGTATTTTCAGGAAATATGCATTGAAAAGGCTCCAGGAGAAAAGCTGGGCATCAGCATCCGGGGCGGAGCGAAAGGTCACGCTGGAAATCCGTTTGATCCTACTGACGAAGGCATCTTCATTTCTAAGGTACCAGACCACAAATTCTGCCCCTTGATGATGTGCATGCACTGCTAGGAGGAAGGATGAATCCCTGAGAGAATTTGTTCTGTGTTTTATGCTCTCTCTATTTTTCACTGGCTACACTGATTCTCTTTTAGTTTTCTCCATCCACTGAAGCATGTGAATGTGTGTCCTTTCATATTCCCTCCTTTACGACAGCTGTAACATTTCTTCTTTCATTTCCTTTGTTTGCCTTTTTTTTGCTATGCAATTTTTGGTCCTTTTTCCATTATGTGAACCCATGCGTTTTTCTTCTTCCTGTCAGTTCCTTTTGCCACCCCACTTCCTCGTGGTCTTCCTTCCCAATCGAAGGTGCGTTTGCCTTTGTCACTGAACACAGTACGAGTTCCTTGCTGTGCCTCCTGTGCTGTGCACTGTGTTCCCTTTCCTTTGTGTGCATCCTTATTTGTCACGTCACTTTTCCCCAGACAGGAACACACACTTTTCAACACAGTGCTGTGTATAATCTGCTGCTTTTCTGACCCTTACCAAAAACTATTGCAGCTTCTTTGCTATCAATCAAGACAGCGTGGTGGTGAACAGTGCAGTTTCACATCTCTTGCTTGCTTTGAATGCTCATATTAATGTCACTACTTCCTTCTCTAGCTGCTATATTAAGAGCAGAAACACTGCTGTGTCCTTGCTCTGAAGAGTCTTAATCCTTGCTGAATGGTGGACTCTTCATATCTGCCAGTTAATCATTCCTGATAATGAGCCCAGGGAGGTGGTGGAGTCACCGACCCTGGGGGTGTTGAGGAACCATGGAGTTGTGGCACTGTGGCACTGTGGGCATGGTGGGGTGGGTTGGGGTTTGGACGTGGTGGTCGTGGTGATCCCTTCCACTGGAGTGATTCTGTGCTTCTGTACTGTCACTCTGCAGAGGAAAGGCAAGATCTGTAGGGATCCATGGCGGTCTGAGGGCTGACTGCAGGGTAGTGGTTGTAATTAGAGATTTGCTATGAATTAAACAAGGATTTAACAGCCAGCAAGCTTATTATCACCTTTTCTAGCACTTAGTGTGGAGTTGCACAGCATCATTAGAAGTCTCAGTAACACGGGCTTGTCTGTCATCTGGGTGAACCCTCTGTGGATCAGGACGTATTCCTATCAGTCAGCACGTATACAGCCATCACCTAGACTCAGGTTTTAGGTAAAACAACACGAGGCACAGCTCAGGACTCAGAGAAGACAACGTTGGCTGCATCCCGGACCACAGGGAATCACAGGTTTTGCCATCCAGCAGCAGTTCTGTTCTGAGCCCCACTGGGGGCTTAATGCTGCCAGATTTTATAGCTCCCAGTGCCGTTACATTTCCCTATTCCAGGACATGGATGTCAGCGCTGGTGAAGCCACAGCTCGAGTGCTGTGTTCAGTTTTGGGCAGAAGGACATCAAGGCCCTGGAGTGTGTCCAGAGAAGGGCAGTGGAGCTGTGAGGGGTCTGGAACACAGTGCTGTGGGGAGTGGCTGAGGGAATGGGATGGGTCAGTGTGGAAAAGAGAAGGTTTGGGGGAGACATCATTGTTCTCTCCAGCTCCTGAAAGGAGGTTGGAGCGAGGTGGAAGTTGGCTTTTGCTCCCAGGTAACAGCAACAGGATGAGAGGCGATGGCCACCACCAGGTGAGGTTCAGGTTGGATATGAGGGAGCATTTCTTATCAGAGTAGTGGTGATGCACAGCTGCACAGGGCAGTGGGGCCGTCACCATCCCTGGAGGGATGGTGGAACCATGGAGATGTGGCACCGAGGGACGTGGCTTAATGGGCACCGTGGGGCGGGTTGGGGTCGGACGTGATGATCTTGCAGGTCTGTTTCAACATGAGTGATTCTGTCATCTCCTGACAACCAGCCTGTGCAGGAATTGACACTGCTGATGGGGTTTAACTGTGCTGTCATCATACCCCCATAGCGACCCAGCCCTGAGAGCACCTCTGCCTTTTGGCACCCTGACAATGGGGGTCCCCACAGCCTGGGCAGACGGGGTGAGGGGAGGAGGCAGGGCTGTGTGTTAGCAGCCACTGACGTGCTGTGATGCTCACTTTATCGTTGGTTGTGCTAACCATGCTGCTGGGGTAAGGAGCAGAGCGTATTGATCCCAGCTGCCTTGACGGTGTCATTTCAGCTTTACCTCTCAGCTCCCCAACCCAGCGTGCTTTTCCTGGTTGGCTTATTCTGCCTCTATATCTCTGCTAGCTGAGGGATGGAGCATTGTTTTTCTTCTCTTTTCTCTTTTTTGGGTGCCTGATGACTACATTATTTCCTCTCAGTCTCCCTTAATTGTTTTTGTTGAGTCTCTTCATTCTCATATTTTTTTTAATCTGCAACCTGGCTCTTCTTTCTTAAAACCTTATTGGTGAAGTGTTACGAGTTGAGTACAATCAGAAGCCTTAAATATATCCACAGTTTGAAGTTGATGGCCTGTTGCAATGGGAATAGCATAGACTCCCCTGGTGAGACATGAATGATACAGACGACTGTTAGCATTGTGGGCATATTCTTCCATTTCCTCCCATTATTTCAGCGTGTTTTACTGCCATGCTTGTGCATTTGCTCCCTCTGGGAGAGAAAACGGGAGCGTTTGGTCATCTTCCATTTAGCTTCATGTGACACCTTCTATGCATGCACGTTCCATTCACACATTTTCCTGTTTTCCTCACTGTAGGAAATTGCATGCATGCATGCCTATTTTCCCTCCTGAAAACCTACAGCAGCATTCCCTTCTCTTTTTCCAAGTGCTTTTATCTTTTATAAAATAATAAACCAAATAAATACTCGTCCTTTGCTGGTTGGTTTTTTTTGCCTCCCCCCCCCCCAGCCCCATCACTGTGTTCTGTGCACTGTCTTTGTCTTAGAATAGAATCGTTAAGGTTGGAAAGGACCTCAAAGATCTTCTCATGCTCTCTGTGCCTCCCTGCTGCTCTGACAACCAGCCCTGCATGCCCTCGCATTTCCCCCACCCATCTGCTGCCCCTCTTATTCTTATTATGCTTTCCTTATTCTCTTGGCATAAATCTGCAGGCCGTGCAGAAGATCCCCCACATTTCCATACTCTTTTTGCAAAGCCTTTATGTTGCCCTGGTCGTAATTCATGTTGGTTCTTTGGTTTGAGTCTGGCAGTTGAATTAAAGCCGTTATTATCTCGTATTCCCAGCGACATCTGCTTGTAAAGCCAGTGTACCAAGACCTTCATTTGAGCTTGGCCATGCGTGCATCCCGTTTTGTTACAAGGTTTTGGTTTCCCATTAGAAGTAAGGACCATTTAGGCTTCTGTTCCTTTCCCCAGCTGTTTCTGTTCCTTTCAGTTGAATCCTCTATTTCTGCCCAGTCTCCGACAGCATCTTCTCCTAAATCCATCATTCAGTTTCTTTTTCACTTCCCCAGCTTGCATATTTCTCCTACCGAACGTCATGCTTTTTTTTCCTCCTTTCCACATTGTACCCACAGCAAATCCTGCAGCCTCTTTTCCTTGTCCTAAGGGGGAAAACATTAATAAGATGTTTTAAATTTACCTCCTTTGTTCTGGTGACAAAGCATGCACTTCCATTCTCAAACACACGTTGATACTTGCAGTCTTTAAGGCAAACCCTGGCATTTCTGCATTGCTTCCCCTGCTGGCACTGGTTACACGAGATCATAGAATGGCCTGGGTTGAAAAGGACCTCAAAGATCATTGAGTTCCAACCCCTGCTATGTGCAGGGTCACCAACCACCAGACCAGGCTGTCCAAAAGCCACATCCAGCCTGGAAATATTGACATGTAATATAGGGCCTGTTGAAATACACAAATCCTTCCTTTGTTTGCTCTCTCTGTGAATGCATCAGGTGCTTTCAATCGCGTTCCCTGACATGTAGCCTCAGCCTTTTTTCCGTGTTTCTTTTGTACTCCTTCTCCCTGATGTGGTCCTCGTGCTCCCTGACTTTCTCTTTACTCCTTGAGTAAAGCCACCGTTCCACCACTGATTACAGGTGAGCTCCTCTGGGGCTGCAGCGCGGGACGGCCGCCTCAAGGTGGGGATGCGGATCCTGGAGGTGAACCATCAGAGTTTGCTGGGGATGACGCACACAGAAGCAGTGCAGATACTCCGAAGTGTGGGTGATGCTCTCCTGGTGTTGGTGTGTGATGGCTTCGATCCCAAGGCTGCAGCTGCCATCGAGGTGAGGAGGGAGGTGCAAGGAGCCCTGCAGAGACCGACATCATGAGAGTCATAGAATCACTGAACCCTAGAATGGCCTGGGTTGCAAAGGAGCACAATGCTCATCTGGTTCCAACCCCCTGCTGTGTGCAGGGTCGCCAACCAGCAGACCAGGCTGCACAGAGAACCCATAGGATGCCATAAGGATCCACAGGGTGCCATAAGGATCCGTAGGGTGCCACAGGAATCCGTAGGGTGCCATAAGGATCTAAAGGGTGCCATAGGGACCCATAATCATAGAATCACTGTAGAGTCACAGAATGGCCTGGGTTGCAAAGGAGCACAATGCTCATCAGTTCCAACCCCTGCTGTGTGCAGGTCACCAACCAGCAGCCCAGGCTGCCCAGAGCCACATCCAGCCTGGCCTTGGATGCCTGCAGGGATGGGGCATCCACAGCCTCCTTGGGCAACCTGTTCCAGTGCCTCACCACCCTCTGTGTGAAAAACTTCCTCCTCACATCCAACCTAAACCTCCCCTGGCTCACTTTAAAGCCATTCCCCTCGTCCCATCACCACCACCCTCACACACAGCCGTTCCCCTCCTGTTTATCCGCTCCCTCCAAGCACTGGAGGCCACCATCAGGTCTCCCTGCAGCCTTCTCTTCTCCAAGCTGAACGAGCCCAGTTCCCTCAGCCTTTCCTCATAGCAGAGCAGCTCCAGCCCTCTGAGCATCTCAGTGCCCTCCTCTGACCCCCTCCAACAGCTCCCTGTCCTTCTTGTCCTGGGGGCTCCAGCCCTGGACGCAGTGCTGCAGATGTGGCCTCACAAGAGCCGAATAGAGGGCAGAAAGGAGCCCACCTATTTCTGCACAGAAGATTGCTGCATTTTCTAGCCTTTCGCTGTAGATTTTTTTGTTGGTTGGTTGGGGTTTTTGAGGTCTCAGATTTCAAAGTTTGCTCTCTTGCTTTATGATCTGGAAGTGATACAGAGCTGTTTTCACCATATCACTTTGCTGCATAGAAAGGTGGTTTCCTAACAGATTTTCTGCTGTGTGCTTTTAGCCTTTTTTTTCTTGTATTGATGTTATATTTATAGTAAATTTTCTTTCTGTTTGTTGGTGTTCACCTTTCCCCCCAGGGAAACACCCACAGTAATTCTGTGCCTTCTCCATTTTCTTTTATTGAGTTTTAGAAGTTTTTTTTCATCCTGTGCTAGAATGTATCCTTGGTTATCTTATCCCCTTCCTGTACCTGTTTCAGTTGAATTGTTTTAATTATCCTTCCTCGCCCTCCATTTCCTTTTGTAATTGACAGTAGCAACAGAGTTTTGAGTTGTGAAGCCGTTCCGTCTCCTCTAGGAGCATCTCAGTGCTCTGTATCTGATAGCCCAGGGTATGGAACCTCGTGTGGTACACGGTGGGCTTCTGCCATGTTTTATTGTGCTTTTTGCTTCGCAGATGTCTCCAGGAATTATTGCAAACCCTTTTGCTGCTGGTATTGGGCGCAAGAATAGCCTGGAAAGTATCTCATCCATCGACCGGGATTTGAGCCCCGAGGAACTGGAGGTGCTGCAGAAGGTGGGTGTTCTGGCCATGGCTGGGAGAGGGGCGTGGGATGGAATACTTGTTCCATCTCAAGTATTTCCCTTGGTGCGTGGAACCTGCAGCATAACAAATAGTGGACTTCGTGTTTATGGGCTCAGCAGCTCCCAGCACATGTACCAGCACGACGCTGAGACTGACTTCTTCCTGAGGTTGCCATCCTCCATCGCAGGGAGGGAGCACGGGGTGAAGTGGTCTAACTTTGGTCTCTCCTAGGAGATGGAAATGGTGAGAGAAGCGACTCAGTGGGAGAGAGAAGAAATGGAGAAAGTGGTGAGAGATGTTTCGTGTGGTGGAATTTGTTCCTGACAGCGGTTCTGCCCAGGCCGTGGCACAGAGCACCTCTCCCTGAGATTGCTGGGGGGCTGTGGGCCTTCTCTCTCCACAGTGCACCTCTAGTTGCTTTTTGGCTTTGGCATACCTTCCTATGTGCCTCTGTGGTGGTACTTACCTGTTATTCGTGCAGTTTGTCTTTGTTACCCGCTGGGATTTTCTGGCCGAGGTTTTCTTCGAGCTGCAACTTTGAGGAAAGTGGCCCACTGGCTTTGGGAGCCCCACGTTTCATCACTTCTCTCCATGATCTGACAGCTTTCGTGAGCAGAGATGAGAACACACAGCTCAAAGCTTGAGGAGTCAGCCCCATTCATCAGTCAGGAGTTTGTGCTCCCCAGTTTCCATGGCTGTTGTTCTGGCTGGACATGAGGACTTTGTCCCTGAAGGGGTTGGATTTTCCAGTTCTCTCTTAAAAATGTTATTTATTCAGTTGGAAAGTGAGGGAGAATTGAGTTCTTGAGCATTGTCCATCGTCAGTCTGCTCTCCTGGCAAATAAGGATGTGTGCATTTTGCATTTCTTCAGGTTTCCAGTTTAGATCTATTTATCATTCTGGGTTCTCTCTGTTGTTCAGTCCCTGAGCTGAACATGCTCACCACTGCTCCCACAGGAGTTTTCAGGAACTCTGCACACTCCGTCTTCCAGGTTTGGTTCTTTGATAATTCAGATTCTAAGAGCAATGTTAGTGACTCCAAACCTCCATGGGCTGATTCATGGCACTTTTCTCTTATCTCAGCTCTGCTGCCAGTTATTTCTGTAACCTTACTGCAGAGCTTCCCCAGCTGGCTCAGATGTTGCAGGGCTGGACTTCCAGCATTGCCCAGCTCCATCAGCACTGCCTGGAGCTCCTCTTACTTTTCACTTTATGACCTCCAGTTTTGCAGATGATACTTGGTCCAAAGCACCAACATCCACTTCAGCTTAAATATCCCTGAATATCCCTTTGGGTCCTGCAGTTCTCTGGAGCATTGGCATCTTCTCACGTGGCTCATCACTGTCTGGAGATTGGGAGCGTGATGTTGGGCGTTATTTGCTGGTGGTAAAGCACAGGATAGCCTGAGAGCTGACGAGAACTCTCTCTGCTCTCCCTGTTCCTCAAGCTGCGTCCCATCCATCGGCCTTGTGCCCTCAGGACCCTCTGGGGGCTGCTGATGGAGAGAAGCAGTCAAAAGGGCTGAAATATGCTGTAGAGCAGAGCAATTACCTGCCTTCTGTCCACAGCCCCCGCTGTGCTGCAGAGGCTCTGGGCAAAAAGTGACAGAATATAAATGCACAGATGTAATTCGTCTTTAAATCGAGCAGCAGGCGTTATTTCTTTCCTCCCGCAGCTCTGAAGCTGCAGTGAGTTTGGTGGCTGGTGACTTTCATGACGTTCATGTGCTGCACTGAGTGCTGTGCTCACCCACTGGCTTTAAGCCCTCTGTACGATGGCCATCTCCGTAGCTCTGTGGCTGTGATGCTGTTAACAAGCATGTGATTTTTTAGGACTTTTTCCTCGATGACCACCAGCTTGTGCTCTGTAGATTTGTTTCTCTGTGCCCTGACAGCTTCCCCACTCCGTGCTCTGCCAGGATCCTTCTTGCAGCTCTAAGCAGCCTTCTCCCATCCCTCAGTGACGCTGCGTGGGGTTCAGCTCCACTTCCTCTCCCCTAGGAGTTGCCCTGCTGAGGATCTTAGAGCCACCTGCCCTCTTCCCTCCCCTGGTGACCCCCTGTCTTTATTTGTGTGGGCTGGCTGTTGCCATCAGTTTGCTGGCAGCGCCCAGCAGAACGCCAGCTTCTCCTTCCCCGGGCTCAAGCTCACGTGCTGATTTCTGCTCACCTCATCCCGACATCAGCCCTTTCCATACCCCTGTGTTCTCCCTCCGGAATGATTGCCCAGCATGCAGCTGACCTCTCTCCCTCTCTCTTTGCCTGCGCTGCTTGGATGCTGGTCTGGCTCTGTCCTGTGGCATGGAAGGAGTGGATGCGTAGGGAGCGGGAGGCGGCCACGCGGCAGCTTGAGGAGGAGGCTGCAGAGGTGAGGAGCGTGGTGGGAGGGATGGAGAGGTGGAGAGAAGAGGCAGAGCTGGGCCTCAGGGCTGGAGGAGCCCCCGAAAGTAGAAGCACTCGTTGCCCCTCTGCGTGTGTTCTCCTCACACCCCTGCAAAAAGCACAGCTTCAGCGTGCGGGGAGATAGCAGAGATTGAGAACTCTGTAACGTGGTTGAGGAAGGGATGGTGAAAAACAGTGGCTAAAATGCGAAAGCAAATTAAAATAGGAAGTGATATCAGGCACGATTGTACAAACAGTGTGAGTTAATGCTGAAAATAGAGACCACAGAGGAGTTGTGGATTGACTTTCTTAAATATAGAATCACGGAACATGCCGAGCTGGGAGGCTCCCATAAGGATCATCGAGTCCAATTCCTGTAGCTCCAGCTCCAGACTGGAAATCTTTCTGGATTTAGTGAAAACTGATTGTATATATTTAGTATTCTTTTCTCTTTCTTACGAGGCCAGGCTGGATGTGGCTCTGTGCAGCCTGGGCTGCTGGTTGGTGACCCTGTGCACAGCAGGGGGTTGGAACTCAATGATCTTTGTGGTCCTTTTCAACCCAGGCCATTCTAGGGTTCTGTGGTTCTATGAGGGTGGATGTGTGCACTGCACAGGAGAAATGCTGAGGACCAGCATCCCGGCGTGGCTGTTCCCTGCAGCATTTCTCCAGGCCTGTCACTTTTCCCTGTGGCTGCGTTTGGAGCAGTCCCAGGTTTACATCCCAGCAGTGGGAGCTTCCTGCAGCGTTCAGAGACAAAGCCTTGGCTGTGGTTAAGGGTGGTTTCCTTTTAATTGCTCTCTGCGGTTGCTGTAGCTGAATTCTGGCCTGATCTCTTCCTGGTGTTTCTGTTTTGTTTTTTGCTTCTCCCCCTTCCCCCTCTCCAGAATGTCCCGAGTGAACCTTTGCGAATGGACTATCGGACCCTGGCTGCTTTGCCCAGCAGTGGCTCACAGAGAGTCAATCGCACTGTAAGTGATGGGTGCTCAGTGCACATCCCTGCTCCCTTCCCTGCCCTCTCCTCTGCCTGAGTGTGATGGTAGAGGTGGACTTCAGGTGTCTGAAACAGGAGGAGCTGCAGCAGAAAGATTAGAAGGAGAAAAGACGGGGGAGGTTTAGGTTGGCTGTGAGGAGGAAGTTTTTCATGCAGAGGTGGTGAGGCACTGGAACAGGTTGCCCAAGGAGGCTGTGGATGCCCCATCCCTGCAGGCATCCAAGGCCAGGCTGGATGTGGCTCTGGGCAGCCTGGGCTGCTGGTTGGTGACCTGCACACAGCAGGGGTTGGAACTGATGAGCGCTGTGCTCCTTTGCAGCCCAGGCCATTCTGTGACTCTACAGTGATTCTATGATTATGGGTCCCTCTGGCACTCTGTGGCACCCTATGGACCCCTATTGCACTCTGTGTGACCCCCCTGGCACCCTATGGATCCTTATGACACCCTATGGATTTCTGTGGCTCACTATGGATCCTTATGGCACCCTATGGGTTCTCTGGGCAGCCTGGTCTGCTGGTTGGCACATAGTAGGTGGTTGGAATGAGATGATTGTTGTGGTCCTTTCCAACCCAGATCATTCTAGGATTCTGTGATTCTACAAAATGGTGAGAGCAGAGAGCCAAGTTGCTTCTCACTGAAGAAAGGGAAGTGGCTTCTGTAGTTGCTTTGGTGCAGGAGATGATGTGAACAAGGCAGAAAGAACAGCCCAGCAGGAGGGAAGAACATACATGAATGAGGGGGTGGGGGCATCGGTGGGGAAAGAAGCAAGTACTGAAAGCTGCAGAAGCAGGTGAGGAAGATGATGCCAGGCACATAAGGCAACAATGCTCTGTGTGCAGAGAAAGCAAGGAGTGCAGGGCACTGGTACCAAAAGTTTTAAAGCAAGGCCTGGAACCCATCTAGAACTGCAAAAGGCGAAGCAGAAGTGGTTGCACATCCCACCTAGCACAGATGATGCCTTTGGCACTAGTGCTGCCCCTCTGCCCTCCTGCGTTGCCCTCTCTGATACATGGTGGAAACTCAGCAAAGAGACAATCCTGGTTCCACAGATGGCACAGATGACAGCTATCTGTCTTTCCTGGGTTGTTTAAAATGTCACATCTCTGCCTCTGTTTCCTTTGTCTTCCCTGCATCACGCCTATTCTGCTCAGTTGCTGCCTGCTCCCTTCGAGCTTCGCATCCTCAGGCTTATCCCCAGTTCCTTTCCTGCTGTTACAGGAAGGACCAGCCCTTTGCTGATGTCATCAGAGACAGAATCTCTCTTTGTTCTCCCATTGTTTCAGATCATCTCTTCTACCCATCTCTGTTTCATTCCATTGAGACAGCTCTTCTCTCGTATTTGTCTATCATCTCATGACTGTGTCGCCAGCTTTGCCTTACATCGTTCCTCCCCTTCCTCCCAAACTTTGCTTTTTCTCTCCTGGCTGTCCACAAAGAAAAAAAAATATATATTTCATCAGGAGAACATTTGAAGTATTTCCAGCATCTCTTCATGTAACTGAGTAGCTGGAAGCGAGGGGAGAGCCGTGCAAGCAGCTGTTCCTTTGTGAGCAGCCCAAGAGCTGAGCAGCATTTGGGAGCCTATGGTTGAGCCTGGGAGCGCCTGGCTCTGGAATGTGCAGCAGAGCACTGGAATGCTGCGTGTGGGGCAGCGTCTATAAATGTCCCATCTCAGGGGAAGGGCCAATTAGTGCACATTTATCTTCTCCCAGCTGTCTTCTGCTCAGCCCTACCTTCGCTCTGTTTGAAAAAATCCCACCCGCTTCGATTGTGAGCTACGAGCTCCAATGACAGCGAGGTTCTGGTTGCACCCAGCCCATGTGCTGAAAGGTTCAAGCAGTCCAACCAGAAGAAAAGCATGCAGCTCATAGGGCTGGAGCACTTTCCAGTGAAGAGAGGCTGAGAGAGTTGGGGTCCTCCAGCCTGGAGAAGAGAAAGTTCTGGGGGGACATCTTATAGCAGCCTTCCAGGACCTAAAAGGGCCTACAGGAAGCTGGAGAGGGACTTTGTACATGGATGTGTAGTGATAGGACAAGGGATAATAAAAGAAGGTAGGTTTAGGTTGGATATAAGGACAAATATCTTCACAGTGAAGGTGATGAGGCCCTGGCACAGGCTGACCAGAGAAGTGTGAGTGCCCCACGTCTGGGGGTGCCCTGGGCAGGCTGGTCTGGCAGAAGTGCCCCTGCCATGGCACGAGGGTTGGAAGTAGATGATCTTTAAGGTCTCTTCAACCCAACCCACTCTGTGCTTTATGATCTTTAAGGACCCTTCCAACCCAACCCATTCTATCACAGAATCATTATAGAATCACAAGGTTGGAAAGGACCTATGAGATCATCTAGTCCAACCGTCATGGTTTATGATTCTGTGATACGACCCTTCCAATCCAACCCGTTCTGTGGTTCCTAATCTTTAAGGACCCTTCCAACCCAACCCAACCCAACCCATTCTATGGTTTATAATTTTGAAGGACCCTTCCAACCCTAATCATTCTATTGTTTATGATTCTGTGATTTGACCCTTCCAACCCAACCCATTCTATGGTTTATAATCTTTAAGGACCCTTCTAACCCAACCCAACCCAACCTATTGTATGGTTCGTAATCTTTAAGGACCCTTCCAACCCAACTCCAACCATTCTATGCTTTATGATCTTTAAGGACCCTTCCCACTCCAACCCACTCTGTGCTTTATGATCTTTAAGGACCCTTCCAACCCAACCCATTCTAACATAGAATCATCATAGAATCAGAAGGTTGGAAAGGAGCTATGAGATCATCTAGTCCAACCATCATGATTTATGATTCTGTGATATGACCCATCCAACTCAACCTGTTCTATGGTTCATAATCTTTAAGGACCCTTCCAACCCAACCCAACCCAGTCTATGGTTTATAGCCTTTAAGGACCCTTCCAACTCAATGCATTCTATGCTTTATGATCTTTAAGGACCTTTCCAACCCAAATCCACTCTATGGTTTATGCTTCTGTGATATGACCCTTCCAAGCCAACCCATTCTGTGGTTTATAATCTGTAAGGACCCTTCCAACCCAAACCATTCTTGACTCAAGTAGCAGGTTGTCTATCTACAAACAACACACCTGTATTAAGATGGCTGATGCCATTACCCCATTCCCACAGTATTACTGTATCTGTCTGTGCTTTGGCAGCTCTCACACCCAGCACTTTCTCCTCTAAGCTGCCTTGCGTATCTCCTGCTGCTGTCTGGTGCCCTTCAAGGCCGTGCAGAGCCGCTGTTCCCACTGCTGAGCAGAAGGATGTGCAGTTAGCTCAATCTCTGTCATGGCTCTGCTGTAGGTTGCAGTGGAATTTCTCATGGGGATGCCCAAAAGAACAGTGCCTGAAGAAGGGGCAGATGTTTGTCTCTCCTGGGTTAATCTGCTATGTTGGTTGTTCTGTGAGTAGGGGTCCTAAACATGGAACACATTTTGTGTTTGTGCAGTTTGTACAGCTGAAGAACTTTTCTGGAAAGCCGCATGAAAATTTGCAGGCGACACCAAGTTGGGAGGAAGTATTGATCTGCCAGAGGGGAGAGGGGCACTGCAGAGGGACCTGGACAGACTGGATCGATGGGCAGAGGCTAACTGCATGAGTTTCAATAGGGCCAAGTGTCGGGTCCTGCGTTTTGATCACAACAACCCCAAGAAAACCCTGCAGGCTTGGGGAGGAGTGGCTGAAAGCTGCCCGATGGAAAGGGAGCTGGGTGTGCTGATGGGCAGTGGGCTGAGTGTGAGCCAGCAGTGTGCCCTGGTGGCCAAGAAGGCCGATGGCATCCTGGCTGGGATGAGGAATGGTGAGCAGGACTGGAAGTCGTCCTGCCCTGCACTCGGCACTGTGAGGCCTCACCTCGAGTGCTGGGTTCAGTTTTGGGCACCCGAGCACAGAAAGGACGTGGAGGTGCTGCAGCAGGGCCAGAGAAGGGCAGCGAGGCTGGGGAAGGGCTTGGAGAATATGGCCTCTGAGGAGAGAGCGAAGGAACTGGGGCCGTTCAGGGTGGGGAAGAGGAGGCTGAGGGCAGACCTTGTCGCTCCCTTCCAGCGTCTGAAAGGGGATTGCAGCAGAGCGGGGCTGCTCTCTGCTCACTGGTGACAGGTGACGGGACGAGGGGCAATGGCCTGGAGTTGTGGCAGGGGAGGTTCAGGTTGGATCTCCGGAGGAACTTCTCTAAGAAAGGGCTGCTGAGCAGTGCAGTGGCTGCCCAGGGAGGTGGTTGGGTCAGCATCCCTGGATGTGTTTAACAGCCGTCTGGATGTGGTGCTCAGGGCCGTGGTTTAGCAGAGGGCTGTTAGGGTTGGGGTCGGATGGTTGGGCTGTGGTTGGACTCGGTGATCTTTGAGGTCTTTTCCAACCTGGGCAGTTCTGTGATTCTATGAAAGCTCCTCTCACTGATGCCCTCTGCAGTGGCAGCTTCTCAGCACCGCGGTGTTTGCAGTACTGCAGTAGGAAGTCAGGACAATGCCATCACATCAACAAAGGAGCTGTTATAGTCTATCATTTTTCTGGATATTACAGGCTTGGAAGCTATACCCGTGAATGACTGTGCACTTACAGTCTCATTTTGCTTTCTGGACCATAGGAAATGAAGATGACTTTACATCTGTCAGTAACGGGTCACATTGTTAGTTAATTTATCTGTGCTTTCCAGTCCGAAGCTTTTGATTCCTGGCCCATGGTTCCCTCTCTGTAGCTGTTTGATTTCAGATTAAATTTGTCAGCATCCGAGGCAAAGCTGTGGGTCACAACTGCAAATGCATTTGTGTATTTGCTCAGAGGTCGCAGAGGATATTCCTGTTCTCTGTGCTGGAGTGCAGAGTGACAGAGCAAGGCTGGGAAAGGCACAATGCATTGCCAGGATTGTTGCCTCCCCAAAATAGAAATTGTTGCTCGTCTGGTAAAAATAGTCCGTGTGGAGCTGAGGGAGGAGGGCATCCTGCACTGGGACGCATGCAGT